GCCAGCGCCCTGAGTTACTTGGTAAGTATGCTCTGATGTCTGTGGTGGTCCCCACCAGGAACTGGAATGTCCTAGTAGGGGTCGCAGGAAGGAGGTACCAGCCCAGCAGGCTGGAGGGGCCCAGGCTCTGTGCTCAAACACAGGTGTGCCTGGTGCTTATTGAAAACAGTCATCTTGGGCTGTTCTGTGTGTGCTTCTGTATGAATCCTGCTTAGAGGGAAATTTTATTTCTCCACTGCAGTGTATCATAAGAGCAGAGATAGTTCGATACTTGTTGAAAGAGTGGATGAAACTTATTAGCATCAACAGCAACTCCCATTTATGAAGTGCTTACCATGGTTCAGCTGTCCAGGTGGTTTACAGGCTCCAGTCAGTGTAATTCTCACGAAAGCCTGATGAGGCCTGCTCCAGTGTCTCCCTGATGAGGGAACTGGAGTAGAAGGGTGTTACATGATGTGCCCGGGTCCCACAGATCTGTGGGAGAGCTAGGCTGCCCGGGTCTGGCTGTGGCTGGGGAATGTGGAGAAAAAATCTGAGGCTTAGAAGCGGGGAGTGCGGGAAGGAGGGAAGATGGGCAGCCCTGTGGGCAGCTTTGCTGAGCTCAGCCTTTTCACTCTGCAGGAGGATAAAGACCTGGTCCACGGAAACGTGTGCACTAAAAACCTCCTCCTGGCCCGCGAGGGCATTGACAGCGAGTGTGGCCCGTTTATCAAGCTCAGTGACCCCGGCATCCCCATCACGGTGCTGTCCAGGCAAGGTGTGTCTCCCTTCCCTCCGCCCTCCTCCGCGACCCCTCTGCCCTGCCCGGGGCAGGGTCAGGCCAGCAGCGGGAGGGCGCTGGGGCTGGGGTTCTGCCTCCTTGTAGAAAGCACACTTCTGCAGAAGGTGTCTGGTGCTCCTGCCAAGATGTCAGATGTGGGAGGGTTGGTCCCTGCCCTCAAGGTGCAGCTCGCCCGAGGCACGTCCAGTCCTTGCCATGAAGGAGCTGTGATCCAGGTGCTGGGGCAGCACAAAGGGAGGTCGCAGGTCCGGGGCTGCTCAGAAAGCTGTTGGGAGGAGTGGGACCTGGGCCCTCCCTGTGTTCCTTTTGAAATCCACTGTAGCAGTGAGCAGTGTGGGAAGGCACCTTAACAATTGCTGTGGCCTTGCCTTCTCTTTGAGGTTATCGTGAGTTGAAGGCTCCAAAGGAAAGGACAGCCATGGGAGCTGAGACACTGAGGGCAACGCCCAGGATGTGCTCTCCCTGTAGGCCACACGTGGGACCCTGGTGTCCCCCCGGGCCTGCGATGGCCTGCAGCCTCCAGCACCGAGCACAGTGCCTGGCACTTAGAGTTTTGCTCATTCAGTCAGGGGGTGGACTGAGTTTGGAAGGGAACCAGGATGAAAAGCAGGCTCACAAATAAGCCCCAAATCATCCATTCTTTGGAAGGGGACCGGGAAGCGTCCTTCAGTGCCTGTTTGACACTTACTACCTGGCCACCACCCGACAGTCCTGAGACAGATTCAGCTCTGAACCTCAGCAAGGGTCTCCGACAGACACCGAGGACTAGCACACAAGTAGAGAAGCCTCGGGACCCCACGAGGGGTGGCCCTAAAATCTTGTGGGCACGCGGAGGCGAGAGACATCACCCTGCGGGGGCCGAGGGTGATTCAGGGAGGTGGTGGGTTTCACCTGGGCCTTACAGGTCAGTGGGTGGGCCTGCAGCATGGCCCGCACGTGCCTGTGCCAGGAGGAAGGACGTGAGAAGGTGGGGAAGGGAGGGCCGGGGGCCTGACCATCCCGCTTAGGGATGGCCCTTCGGCTTCTGGTGACATTGGGAGCCAGGAGGCCGCTCTGGGAGGCCACTGGGCTTGTTAAAGTCCATTTGCATGGATGTGGCAGGGGTTCCTGCTCTGATCACTGGCCTTGGTTAGTAGCCAGGTGCAAGAGAGGTGTGACTTCTTTACCTCAGTCTTCTCTTCCCTTGTTCTTTCCCAAATGAAAGAAAACCCGTGTGAAAGGGATGTGACCCTGCAGGGTGACCGTGAGCACGTGAGGCTGGCCCTGCCCGCTATGCCTGTCGGCTGCTTCTCCCCTGCCATCTCCTCCGCAAGCCTTTGTCCACATGACCCTCTGTTCTCCCTTCCCAGGGTGTCAGCCTCCACCCCGGGGTGCTGTGCCGTTTCTGAGGCCAGAGCTTCAGAAGACTGGCTCACACGACCCTCCTGGGGAGCTTGTGATAAACAGACCCAGCTGCGGCCCTGACCCAGACTGATGCATCTGAAGGGCCAGGGTGAGGAGCCTGGGAAACCGCCCCTTTAACAAGCTCCCCGCAGGATCAGTGCAGCCGTGCTCCACGTTTGGAAAGTGCTACTTGAAATAGCTTCTTTGTTAGCTCCTAGTTCCTGCTGCAGTGACAGTGATCCACTCCCCAGGTGGTTCCAGAAACTGATCGGTGTCCCTTGTCTTTTCCAGAGTGCATAGAACGAATCCCATGGATTGCTCCCGAGTGTGTTGAAGACTCCAAGAACCTGAGTGTGGCTGCTGACAAATGGAGCTTTGGAACCACACTCTGGGAAATCTGCTACAATGGCGAGATCCCCTTGAAAGACAAGACACTGATTGAGGTGAGCAGTTGCTTTCCAGAGTGTGAGCTGAGGACCCCTTGGACACTCATAAGCGTCTCAGGAGTCATCACGAAGTCTCACATGGTGGGAGGAGTGGGCCTGAGTTTGGATTGCTCCACAGGCTTACTGGCTGTGTGATCTCACAAATGTTACTTAATTTCCTTGAGCCTTAGTTTCATCATCTGTAAAACGGGGATTAAATAATGCCAACTTTGCGGGATACACCCAGAGTGCCAGGTACACAATACGTGCTCAGATCGCCATAGCATGATTTGAAATTTTAAATAGCTACTTTTCAGCAAAGTTAGCACAAGGTGTTTATTCAGTTCCTCCTGTCCTAAGTTGAAGCTGGGGGTGCACAGTGAAACAGATGCAGGCCTTGCCGTACCCTCAGGACCCTGGGCTGTGGTAGGAGAGTTAGGCTCAAAAAGCGATGATGAAGATTCCATGCAGTATCTGAAACCGTCACCCTAAGAGCCCTGCGTGTTGGTGGCAGCAGTGTCACTACCCTTGCTTTACAGGTCAGGTAACTGAGACGCAGGTGGCTCGAGGCCTGGGCCCCTCAGCCAGGATGCAAAGCCACGAGGCCCAACTGCTCTCGTGTTCACTTGCAGAAAGTGTGGTGGCTCCAACTCCAAAAGGATAAATACTAAAAATTTCAGTAAAGGACCACTGATCCCAACCCGGTGATTTGATTGTTGGGACGTGCCTTGTGTGTTTAGAGAGGCAGGCATACTTTTAGCCAGGAGGGAGTGATCAGAGTCTAGAGGAAGGTGGCATTTCAGTTGTCCATGGGAAGCAGCTCGTGGTTTCGTTTGCCTGGAGTGTGGAGAGGAATGACAGGCAATGAGGTGGGAAGCGTGGTATGGAGCCAGACTGTGTAGAGGCCCCGAATGCCAGGCTGCAGAATTTCACCGGGGGTGATGTGGGCATTGGAGGGTTTGGGTGGAGGATTCAGGTGCTCAGGGGCTGGCCTGCCTGGGGACGGCTCCTCTGCATGGTGGTTGGATGGACGGGCTGAGGAGAGGCCTCATGCTCTGAGGGTCTCAGTGGGGAGAGACTGAACCGGGAAGTGGCCGTGGGGACCTGGAGCGGAGAGTGCACACGTAGGAGATGCTGAAGAGGCAGACCCTTTAGCTAGTTAACCTTTTGACAGGTAGAGATGATGCGGGACTTGGGGAAAGAGAAGTTAAGCTGAAACCAACAGGGAAGCCATCACATCTATAAATTTGCTATTTGGGATTTTCAGCCTGAGTTTTTGGGAGTCATTTTATTTTTAACTTCCTTGGAAACAAAACAGTATACCCTTTGCTGTCAGTCACTGTTTGTTGAGTGCCTTCTGTGTACCCTGGGCTGAGCAACATGCAGAGATGGTGTAAGGAAGGGTCTGTCCCTTTGATAAAAGAGAGCCCCCATCTCCTCCCAAGTCGGTGGGTTGGGCGGCCCTTCCACCGGGCTGCCCTGGAGGCTGGAAGGGTGAGACACTCCGATAGTGGGGGCAGCTTCTTAAATCCAGCCTAGAATGTAGTGATTCCACTTTGTTTTTTAAAGTATTAACCCCATTGGTGAGAATCTGGAAAATACAGGGAACTATTAAAAAAAAAAAAAGAAGTATTACTCACTATATTCTGGGCACTGCGACTACTGCTTAACGCTTTAGCATGTTGTCTTCCAGTCTGTTAGTCTCTCTTCTTAAACAAAATTGGAATCGTGCTAGATACAGTTACATGTGCTGTATTTTTTCATTTAATGTAGTGGGTACTTTCCTGTATGATTAAATAAGTCTTAACATTTGTACTAATTTAAGGTAAGAGTTCGCTGTTTGATTAAACTCTAATTTAACTAATTTTATATTTAGCATTCAGGATGTTTTCAAATTTGTAATGTTCTATTTTTATTCTGCAAGGAATATCTTTAAACATTAATGTTTATATCTGACTTATTTCTGAGTCATTCAATAATTGGAATTAATGAGTCAAAGGGTTTGAAGAATCAGAAGATTTCTGTACATGTTGCCAAATAGTATTCCAGAAGGTTGCGTGACTTCACTGGAATACAGCTTTCGGAACTGGGCGGTTACACCGCCCGTCTTCCTTAAATCTAGATTATTTTAGTATCAGGACTGAGGTTTCCCACAGCTGGAAAAAGGCAGTGGCATGCACACACGTTTATAAAGTCTACCTTTAAGAAGAGCTGTTGGGAATTAAATTAGGGATTGTTAGGGAGCTCTTTCTGACCTGGGGCTAAGACTTTTGGGGGTTGGGAGGGTTCCTTTGGTTTCTTCTACGTGGTTCTTTTCTTTACAGAAAGAGAGGTTCTACGAAAGCCGGTGCAGGCCAGTGACACCGTCTTGTAAGGAGCTGGCTGACCTTATGACCCGCTGCATGAACTACGACCCCAACCAGAGACCGTTCTTCCGAGCCATCATGAGAGACATCAACAAGCTGGAGGAGCAGAGTAAGTCTCCGCTCGTGCTGCCTCGCCCTGAGCAGCCCGAGCCGGGAGCCCGTGAGGGCCACTCCCTGCCTTTCACATGTCTTCTCTTCTCTTCTGTTAGATCCAGACATCGTATCAGAAAAAAAGCCGGCAACCGAAGTGGATCCCACACATTTTGAAAAGCGGTTCTTAAAGAGGATCCGTGACTTGGGAGAGGCAAGTTTCATTCGAGTCCCTGCTCGCCCCTCACCTCTCTGGACATCCAGAGCTGCTCTCTGTTCTCTCATTTCTGGTCCAAGTTGATCAGAGAAAGCCTCTTCCTGTGTTTTCTTTGGGCCACTGACATCACAGGGGATTGTGTGTGTCTCCACCTGACGCTCACATGGTGACGGCGTGCATTGCACCCGTCTCCACGCACAGGACATCGTCAGCCCCTCCAGAGACTCGGTTTTTCTCTAAGGGCCGGAAGAGAATAGAAAGGGGGAGATTTGGGGACATCTGTACGTATCTCTGACTTTTCTGGGAATATATATCCCGTGGGGTTGCTTAAATGAGGGGTGGGTTTCCTACATAAAACACCAAAATAGAAGGCTAGCTTTCCCTTTGGACTTGGAATGGCAGTTTTCTAACAGGACATGTGACTAGAGAAGCTACTGGAATTGGCATCTTCATAGGTTGTCATTAAGTAAACAAAGATTTTGTCCCACCTGGAGTACCTGTCACGTACCAAGGCCATGTGCTGAGCACCTACAGCTCAGCGTTTTTGCTTCCTCACAACCCCCCTAGGGGTTCATCACCACTGTGTGCACTGAGCACCTCTGGTGCGCGCTCGGACGCCTGGGTGACTGGGCCCGCGTCACTCTTAAGTAGCTTAGCTGGGATCGGACCCACATCTTCTAAAGACGCCTCACACCATGCTCTTCGCAGCTACGTTGTGGGGCTTCCCCTGGAGCGTGGGCCCAGGGCTGTCCTGCGTGTCCAGAAATAACCTTCACTGCTGTTTGGGTTACATTTTCACGGAAGCTGGGATTGACATCACTTGATACTTTTGTCACAGCTTAGTAGTAGAAGGGGTGGCAGGTGAGCCGAGGGAGGAAGGACTGTGACCAGGCCGTGTCGGCCTTCAGGGGAGCGGCCCGAGGAGCACGCCTCGTCTCGGAAGTGTGTCCCTGCGGCACAGGCTGGGGCTGCCCTGATCAAGCACGTGCATCTTTCCCTCCAGGGCCACTTCGGGAAGGTTGAGCTCTGCAGATACGACCCCGAGGGGGACAATACAGGGGAGCAGGTGGCTGTCAAATCTCTGAAGCCTGAGAGCGGAGGGAACCACATAGCTGATCTGAAGAAGGAAATCGAAATCTTAAGAAACCTTTATCACGAGAACATTGTGAAGTACAAAGGCATCTGCACCGAGGACGGTACGTTGCGCACAGGCGGGCTGGTTTAGAGACGTAGTGACTGCCTGGGGTCCTGAAGGCCGGTGCTGAGCAGGCAGTACCCTCGCCTTCTCTGGGCCGCCTGAGCACGCCAGCTGAGGGCCCCCAGGGGCCTGGGCTTCGGAGGTGTACGCACCGTCAGATCCCTCAGCAGAACTTCCAGGAAAGGGGATGATTCCAGCATTGCCTCTCCCGGCTGCTCCCACACCCACGCTGGGGACTGGACTTCGCCTGTCCTGAGTCCCGCACAGTCGGGCCCTGAGGCCAGGTGAAGCTGACCCCCCCGCTCCTCCCCTTGCCCTGCTCTCCTGCTCCAGCACGAGCCGGGGTATTTCGTTTCCTAGTTGTCTAAATCAAGGTGGCAAGTAGTACTTACTGAGAAGTGTTATCTTTTACAAGCCGGTCCAATAGTTGGGGATTGTACTTTAAAATTGGTGGTGAAATGACATGGCTCATAATTTTAAAAAATCATTTGCCTAGCGGTTTGCAGAACACGGAGGTGTCTCAGTGCGTGCTGGCGGCCCTGGGGTGGGTGCACAAGCGTAAGGATCCCGAGGCTCTGGGGCCTGAGAGGTTCGGGGACCTGCCTGTGATGCAGGGGCAAAGCTGAAGCCAGTTCAGGTGCCATGACTCCAGATCGTGTGCCCTTTACTCTCACACAGTTCCTTCATCTGGCAGCCTCGTACTGATAGGTGTTTTTTTCCCTGAACAGGAGGAAATGGTATTAAGCTCATCATGGAATTTCTGCCTTCGGGAAGCCTTAAGGAATATCTTCCAAAGAATAAGAACAAAATTAACCTCAAACAGCAGTTAAAATATGCTGTTCAGATTTGCAAGGTAAAAAGAAAAAAGAGACAGCACGGTAAAGGTGAAACAAATCCGGCACTCTGTCCTGGGTGATGGGTTTGTAACTAGGCTGCAAGTGGGAAACTTTCCAATAATTGTGCTACGTTTGTCTTGCTCTACATGATTTGCGTGAAAAGATTAGTCTCTATTAAGAAAGTGAACTGATTTGTTAATACGGCTACTTTAATGTGTATTTCTTTAAATTAGGTGGTCTTACTATTTTTGCATAAAAGTAAAAATCAAAAAAAAATTCAGTGATACGTGAATGAAATGACATTTGTGTTTTTTTGTTATGAAACGATAGCTACAAAATCCAGCCTGGGCTGGTTGCAGCAGCGCGCTCTCCCTTACTTCTCTTCCTCAGGGGATGGACTACCTGGGTTCTCGGCAGTACGTCCACCGGGACTTAGCAGCAAGAAATGTCCTTGTTGAGAGTGAACACCAAGTGAAAATTGGAGACTTCGGTCTGACCAAAGCAATTGAAACTGATAAGGAGTATTACACCGTCAAGGACGACCGGGACAGCCCTGTGTTCTGGTAACTGAATCAAACGGATTTCATCAGCACTTCGTAGGGTTTCCACTGTTGTGACAGGCCCTTTCCTAGCTATGTTAATGTCTCTTACTAGTCAAGATTAGAAAGACTTAGGATTTTTGGAATTTACTCCTTACGCAAATAGGTATCAAGGTCCTAGCCTGTAACAAGTACTAGAGACGTGGTGGTGAACAAGACGGCTGAGTCAAGGATTTACTGGGGGAGGCAGCCACTTCTGTGATCCCGTAACTGTAGAAGGGTTCGGGCTTGGTTTTCTGGAAGTTCTGTTAAGATAAGGCCTTAAAGGATTCCTGGGGGTTAGTAAAGATGGTGAGGAGGCGGCACATGTGACAGCAAGAAGGGGACAGAGCAGGGGCTGTCCCAAGAACTGAAATCAGCCTCGTGTGGCCGCATCGTGAAGGGAGGTCTCGGGCGTTGCCGAGTTACAGAGCGAGGGCTCTGTCCCAAGAGCTTTGGGATGCTGTTGGGGGATTAAGGGCAGGGACAAAGGAGAGGAGCAAGATGGGAGTCCAGTTCGGCCAGAGCCAGTGATGGTATGACCTCGGACAGTGATAGTGGTGTTTAGGAGAACGGCTATGGAGGTGCCTCAATTTCTGGCTCAGGCAATTGGATATCATTCACCAAAACAGCTGACTTTGGAAGAGGACTGAACAGTGAGGTCACTGCCGCTCCCTCCCCATGGAGGAATGAGAGCACGGGCTTGTCTTACTGGTGTTTGGGAGCAGGTATGTGCTACGGGGGGCCCAGAGTGGGTACTGAACTGTGTGTCAGGTGTGCCCCACAGGCGACGAACACATAACACTCTCACATGTCTTAGAATATTAAATTCTAAGAAACACCAGAGAGCTGATGTTTCTGAGTTACTCTGTCATGTTTTTGGAATACGCTTTCCAGGAAGTGAAGTTTTATGTTCTGCTTTCTTTCAGGTATGCTCCAGAATGTTTAATTCAGTGTAAATTTTACATCGCCTCTGATGTCTGGTCCTTTGGAGTGACTCTGCACGAGCTGCTTACTTACTGTGATTCAGACTCCAGTCCCATGGCAGTAAGTCTTACTTGTCTGTCGTTACAATCTAGCATCCAATGAAAACGTGTCCATCCCTCTGCTTTGTAAGTGTTGTTCTTAAGTGGGGCCCAATCAGTGTGTTCAAATGGAAAGGTAAAATTTCTAGAATTAATGGGAAATTAAATCAAAGTCCAAGACACTTTTCCTTAATATATGTGTAAAGTAAAGTATTCTGTTTGGTTTTATTTTTACATAGTTGTTCCTGAAAATGATAGGCCCAACTCATGGCCAGATGACGGTAACAAGACTTGTGAATACATTAAAAGAAGGAAAACGTTTGCCTTGTCCACCTAACTGTCCAGAAGAGGTATTTATGGGCCATTTCACAGTAATAAAACAACTTTTTTTTTAATGTTTTCACCACTTGAGTTATCCAGCATCCGACTGGAGTGGGGGAGCAGGAAGTGGTAGAATACTTCAAGACAGTTTTCTGAAGCTGAATTTCAGATAAGAAAATCATGACAGCCACCAGTTACACTTAAAGCAAGGGATTCCCTTTAAAAGCAGGCGCACCCTAAGGAGCGTGTTTTGCTGTAGCCGTACCATGACAGACACACACAGGTGCATGTGTGTGTTTCATCTCACTTCTCCACAGCATTTCTCTGTGAATTGAGCCTTTAAGACTAAATTTAGACTATTTAAGATGTACTGAAGCGTGCAGGAGCTGAAGAATTAAGCAGCCAGTGAGGAGATTTCAGTCTAAACTGAGCTATCACGTCATTATCTGGATTTTTTCTGAAGGTCAATTAACTTATGAGCTTCCCAAATATAGAAAATGTGACAACCATAGTTCATAAATAATAATTTCATATTTTAAATTACTCAGATACTCTTGTTTTCTAGTCTTACTCATTAAGGAAAATCATTTACATTTCCAAAATTATTTTCTTGATCTTTCTGTAATTATTTTTTAAAAAGTTTCCAAATCTAATGTTTAGTTTTTTTTCTTTCTACAGGTTTATCAACTCATGAGAAAATGCTGGGAATTCCAACCATCTAATCGGACAACCTTTCAAAACCTTATTGAAGGATTTGAAGCACTTTTAAAATAAGCAGCATGTATAACATTTAAATTCTACTCTGTAAAAGTTCTCTCCCCAGCCAATAGCCAAGCCATTTTTAAAAAATTTGTTTTTAATGGAAAAAGTTTGTATTCTGCCTAAAATGATACTTGGGTACGTATCCATGTGTAAGGCACACTGTAGTGCTTAATATGCGAAAGTACTTCCTTTAAATTTGGCACCAGTAAAACACTGACAAATAATAACAACCAAAATATTAGAAAGCACTTAAGCACTCCTCCTTTTGGGAAGAATACACCACTGTTTCGTCTGGTTAATTTACTTACCATCACCCTTGAGTACCGAGGAGGAGTTTCCAAAATAAGAGGAGCTTGACAAAGTCATCTCAACCTAATTTTTGTTAGCTGCCAGTTTATCTGAAATTTTTTTTTGGCACATAAAGATTGATGGACTTAGCCGACACTCTTAACATGCCCTCAAATTTCAGCATCTACAGTGATAGACAAAGCATTCTTGAAATACTAGGTATCAGTTAGTATACTCTTGTTTCTCTACAAAGATGAGTGTATTCCTGTCAACAGTAGGACATAAACTGAGTTGTTTCTGCAATGGCTTAGCCCCTGTCCCCTTGGGTGACCAGTGGTACCTATTTTAGAAACCGGTCACAGCCAGGGGGACAGGTATGGAATACTTTGCTGCATGATGTTACTTCTCGAGAACTAAGCCTGTGCCAGTGCTTTCCTAAACATACACCTTTAGTCAGGATTGACTCCAAGAACCTGGATGCTCTTACACATGCTTTTCAGAAATGTCCAGGTAATGTACATTCTTTTATAACTCTACCACTTCGGGGCAAGCTGTTCCAGCATTGATGTCGGATACTGAATGTCAGAATATATATATATACCACATACATTGCACTGTTCTTAGTGTTTCAGTACTTACCATCCATCTGCAAGAGTCGATCACTATTTTGACTGCCACCTTACGTTGTAAAACTTGAAAGACCGACCCATCTGGAAGCACTATGGAATTCAGGATCCACTAGACGGTTGCCGGTTTGCTTGGAGGTAGCTGGGTAATCAAAAATGTAAAATCTCTGATTCAATGTGAACCATACGATCTTTTTTGACCAAGAGTCTGCATCAATGCTGTGTAGCATTTGTTTTGGTATCATTACTTTTCCCCTTTTGAGCTTGAAAGAGGTCTGTATTGATTCAATGGCAACAATAAACTTTGCCATTTAAATCTTTCCAAATAACCTTACATCACTAAGGTCTCTCTCTGTGTCAAACCTGTGGCCACTCTATATGCACTTTGTTTACTCTTTATACAAATAAATATACTAGACACTTCACATGCATATGCCTTTTAATATTAAGATTCATTTTCAAAGCATTTCAAACAGTTTGTTTACATAGAAAAATAACAGTATAGACTATGGCTGGGGGGTGGGGGTAATGGTCCTTATTACTGACACCACTTAATTTGTACTTATCTGTCTTTCAGTTCTTCCAACCTCTTCCTGCTTCCCTTTCTTCTATTTGTACTGTTGTAGAGGTGTGACAAAGCATTGAAGAGGCTAATGCAACAGGAAAAAGGGAAGAAGTGCAGAGCATGGAGAATCCATTATTGAGCTGCTGAGTCAGAATTGATTGATGCCTGTCCTGATCAGTTATTTATGGGTAGTATACTTACTAGAAATGCTCTTAACTTTCTAGCTGTCATTGCCAGTAGAAGCTAATATATGCAATAAATTAGACCAAGTAAAACTCTTCACAAATCATACCATATGTACCAATTTTTAACTTCATAATTTAACTTCATAATTAAAACAGGAGAGATACTTTCTATCATAATTACAAGATATTTAATGATCTGATTTCAAAAAGACTCTGATCATTGAGATTGCCTAAACTCCACATCATCAATTACAGTCTCGTAACAAGGAACAAACTTACAAATGTCTAGATGGCAAAAGGGTTTCTCATGCATTTAATACCAAGCTCTTCAGGAAATGGTGATGTCAAAAGTTGTATGCAACAGTAAATTGGGTTAAATAGCTGATAATTTTTCAGCCTAATACACTGCAAAAGAACAAGAGACAAAGCAGAGAATGAAGTATAGCTTGTTTCCTCAAAATGGTTATTAATACTGTTCCTTCCATAAGACTTCAGGAAGGGCAGAATTGCTGCTTTACTGTATTATGGAACTAGGGCATTTGATGACCAAAATATACCCTGTTCTAGTAATCAGATCATCACTGGTCTGTGCTGTGAAGTATGACACAGAAACCTATGTTCCTTGCCACTTACAAATTTTGTAGGTGAAGTAAAGGATTAGAGAATTAACGGTATTATATCAGGAGTCATTGAACTTTATAAAGGGCCAAATAATTTTCAAGTCAGTTTTTTCCCCTCTAACATTTAAAAATGTAAACCTCATTCTTAGCTTGCAGGCAGTACAAAAACAGGTGGAGGACTCAATTTGACTGCAGGGAGTTAGTTGTTTGGCAACCCCTGAAATTAGATCAAAGCTACTTTTCTTAAAATGTCTTGTTTCTAAGAAAAGGTATAAATGGTAAATAACAAGTAAAGCATCTGTAGTAGTGTATATCTTATATGTCACTATCACCGTGTTTCAGTTTAATTTTGCATGACTTGTATGGGGCTAATAATTTTGTCTGCATGTAGAGCATCTTTATAACATTACTATCACGGTATTTTGTACTTGCGCTCTTGTAGTTCTAGGGAAAGTAAACTGAAATGTACAATGGCTTATTGAAAACTCATTCTAAGGCTCGGGAAATAAGAACATTTCCCATTTATTGCTTCAAACTTTAATATATGGTGTCAAAATTATTCCCACTCCTAAACAAGGAGTATTGGAACATATATTAATTTCTCCAATGGACTATGTAAGTTAATACCAGATTAAGATACATCTAATGCTAGTGGAAAATGTCCTCAATTGATGTCTCTTCTTATTGCTACTTATTTTTTTTTTAAATTTGGCAATTCTGCCTGCTGCACAGCAGAGTTCCTTGTGGGAAGTTTTTAACCCGTATTTAAAGGATATGGCTAGTCTGAATGTAGTTAAGGCAGCGATGAACAGCAGAGATACTGCAAAGAACCCTAGGAGGTTTTAAGGAGAGAACTTAACTCAGTACACTCGCTTCTTTTTTAAGTAGGTTTCCATGTAATGTGCTCCTGTGCCCTGAGAATGCTGGTCAACAAATTCCAATGAACCGCCTTCTGGGGCAGAGACAAGATACGACGAGCCACGCTTTTCATTTCTTAAAGATGACACCTATTAGAAAAAGAAATCATAACTAATGCTAACATCTAAATTAAAATTTGTTTATTATATAAGAAAAGCAATTCTACTTGCAGTTTGGTGTAAAAACAGAATAACAGGATAAATAACAAAGCTATTCAAAAAATTACACAAAAATTGCTGTATCAAAATCACTTGTGGAACTTCCTCTTTCCACCATTCCCTACATTTTAGGGAAAGACAAAAAGTGACATTTTAGTTGCTTCTGCCGTTTGTACCTAGTT